ATGCTAAATCTGAGGAGAGGCCCATTTATCATTGCCAGGGCCCCCCCGATCCCACCCCACCCAACCCATCCCAACCCGCGCATTCCGAGTCATTCTTTCACAAGTTCGGCGGAATGGGAGAGAGGCACCGGGTGGAGATGCGATGTGTTGTTGGCTCACACTTTTTAAAACTGCCTGACAAACGTCTACCTGAGACCGAAACGTTGCGGTGTTGTTTTGTGCCTGTTCCCATGTTCCTGCTGGAGAAAATAAACGGTAAAAAAAACCTTTTCGCCGATTTTTTTCTAAGCTAAGTGCTTTAGTGGCTAAGTTAGCCCAAAGCTAATGAGGCTAATCAAGCCCAACATGCGGTGAAATGCTAACAAAGATGGCGGAGCAACGAGTGAGCAGATTGTGGACGTGAGCGAGCCGGGTGCCATGGGTGACTGCCAGGCTGCTGATGCTGAGGTGAGGAGCGCAGTTCTTCCGGTCCACATCACGGAGGGAGAAGGCACCTGCACCAGCACCACGGCTAAAGCGAGCAGAGGTACCCGAACCCGGACGGAGGTGATGACGCGACATCAAAGTGATGGAGAAAGCGGAGGCGCCATGTTTGTGAGTAACTCGGGACTAACGGAAACTTGATTCTGTGTTTACTTTTGGGTCCTCGGAGCCGGGCCTGACGATGGACCGTGCACTGACAGTGGTCTTAGGACCGCTGTCCCAACCCTTTAACCCCTAACCAGCCTGTGCCTCTTGGGTCTAGCCCCGGGAGTTCCCCCAATTGTTTATGCAGTCTCTCCATCACCTAGCCCTAAACACAACCACACAGTTTTCTATTGTGGGAGCGAGGCTGTGACCTAGTCAGGTCCCCTTCTCCTAAACACAACCACACAGTTTTCTATTGTTGCAGGGAGGCTGTGACCTAACCTGGTCCCCTTTTCCTAAACACAACATTAGTAAATGTATTATTTGCAAGCCTAATCTGGCCCTTTAATGCATGGATATAATAAAACAACACATTTTACAGCGGATTTATGACATCTCACTCCTTCACAAACCTTAATAGTCAAGTTATAATTTACTGACATGCATAGAATGCCTACCTGGTGTCATGCTATTATAATTCCATCACTTGTGTGTACAGGATTACAATCTGTTAAACAATGCTGACTCTTAGAAATGTATGCACTATTCTTTAAGGACGACGCTCTATTGAAGCACAATTACGGATCCACAGAAAGAAGCACGATTGAGAGTACGGCCAATATATTGTTTTATGATGTTTTGCACTGTGAACACAATAAGATGATGTGATATTTCAGTTTAATATTACTGACAGGCATTGAAGACTAACTTTGTGTCATGCTTTGAAGGATTCCACCACTCATGTGTACAGGATTGTAATCGTTTTTATTTAAACAATGCTTATTAATTGACAATGTATACATAATTATAAATCCACGGGGATATGGAC